CCATGGTGGCCACGGCACTCTCAGTCAGCGGCGCGGCGTACAGAGCGTCGACGCTCACCACCTCGGTCACCAGAAACTGCCGGCGGACGGGCAGCCGCGTCACACCCAGCGGCGCGCCCGGCTGGGCGCAACTGGCCCGAGCGCGCCGCACGCGCGACCGCTGGAGACCCGCGCCAGTGAAAGGACAGGCCTGGGAAGGCGGGCCGCTCAACCATCACTGGATCCTTTCGCGGTTCACTCAATCAGCGATTAGACAGAACACCTATCGGGCACCGTATTTCAAAGGAAGACGATTGTCGGTCACGTAAACGAACACAGTAAACAACACGAACCCAACTGAACGCCAGTACCGTGGCATGGTGCTACCCGGCCCTGTCGACTATCGTCTGACCGGTCCGGCCCGTCCGGCGGCCAAGCCACACCGAGAGTAGCTGCGGCCACACACCGGTATCTTGTCCCCGGGCCGGAAGTTCATGCTGGCCAGGTCACGCGAGTACAGCGCCGGCGGCAGGGCCGGCGCGGGGCCCGGAGCTGGGACCGGGGCTAGAGCTGGAGCCGGAGCTGGAACTGAAACCGGGACCGGGACCGGAGCCGGAGCCGGAGCCACAGGCGCCGCGGGAACAGCCGCTGCGAATGAAAGGACGCTGATCAACGCTCGTCTCTACTGCGGTGGCTGCCGTTATTGGGAGCTGGTGTCATGGGAACGATGGACAAAAATACTAAAACGATTCCAACACGTGGGGGGTAAAGTTTGATGACACCCATATGTAGGGCCTATTACATGCGAATTCGACACGCAACGCGATCGAATTACAACATGCTATCTGAGAAGACTGTGCAATATAGTCACTGCCGTCGAATTCGAGCATACGCGAGATGATGCGATGATGCGACGATGCGACCCGATGCGTGCTACATACACACGCATCGCATCCTCCACGCGGCAGTGACGCATATGCCAGCGGCAGAGTAAGTAGCCCGCCAGAGCCTTCAACCCAGATCAAAGGGCGTCGGTGGGTGCTGCATAGATGGCCGCACGATTTGAAATTCACGTCCTTCACCAGCGCTAGAACCGTTTTTACATTCACGCAGGCTCCACTCCCATGAAGCCGGGCAAACGGGCCGAGCATATAGCGGCTGAATCGACGACGTCGCTCGATGTGAGGTCGCTTAAATAGAGTGCTCCACATTTGTGTGACGTTTTGAACTAAAATAGCCATCTTGAAGATCATTCGGCGCAGTCTGCAGCCCTGCCCTTCTTAAATCCTGAACCCCTCGAGTTTGTGCGCAACACGTCCGCGACAATGTGCAAATCATTTTGGGCGAGACTATTTCAGGGTCAACCAGGCATTCATGACGCCATGATATTGCCATTGAAATTCTGCCTTTCAATTGGCCATGCTACGATCGATGTCAAGCAAAACAATTATCCAGCTGTTCATATCTGGCGTTCGTGAGTACGATCTCCATATATAACGGTCGTCTATTGGCTCCCAATATTGTACAAGGTACGATGACGCAATCAATCAATGATGTATTGAGGAGCATATTTACTACACAGCGAAATTGCCTTGTCCGGGGCAGCCTTTTCTACTTGTAATACAACAATAACTATAAGTGAGCTAGTTTCATCCCATGTCATGTTTGCTTCAATATCTTAAAATGTGGAACATTCCCTTTAATCGACGCATACGCTGACGCTGACGTTAATCCTAACCGTATCGTTATCCACGCTGACGTTATCCTAACCGTATCGTTATCCATGCTGACGTCATCCCATCTGTATCGTTATCCGCGCTGACGTTATCCTAACCGTATCGTTATCCGCGCTGACGTTATCCTAACCGTATCGTTATCCACGCTGACGTTATCTTAGCCGTATCGGTATCCACGCTGACGTCATCCCATCCGTATCGTTACCCACGCTGACGTGATCCTATGTGTATCGTTATCCACGCTGACGTTATCTTAGCCGTATCGTTATCCACGCTGACGTTAGCCTAACCTCGCAGCACAGTGGCGCGCCCGGGAATGGAGATGATGCTTACCGGCTGCCAGCCGACTCTTCATTTTCTCGTTGAAGCAGAAGGCGTTGGTGTCGCTGAGGCGATGAAGCAGAGCCTGCGGCACGCCGTCCAACTCTGGCCGCTGTGGGGAGCGCGTCACACTCAGACTGACCGCCATCAGAGACAGACACCAGCACACAACACCAGCATCGGCCAGAGTGTCGCCGTCCGGCTCTGGCCGCTGTGGGAAGCGCGTCACACTCAGACTGACCGCCACCAGCGACAGACACCAGCACACCCCAGCATCGGCCAGAGTGTCGCCGTCCAGCTCTGGCCGCTGTGGGAAGCGCGTCACACTCAGACTGACCGCCACCAGCGACAGACACCAGCACACCCCAGCATCGGCCAGAGCGTCGCCGTCCGGCTCTGGCCGCTGTGGGGAGCGCGCCACACTCAGACTGACCACCACCAGAGACGACACCAGCACACCCCAGCAACGGCAAGGGCGTCGCTGTCCAGCTCTGGCCGCTGTGGGGAGCGCGTCACACTCAGACTGACCGCCACCAGCGACAGACACCAGCACACAACACCGGCATCGGCCCGAGCGTCGCTGTCCAGCTCTGGCCGCTGTGGGGAGCACGTCACACTCAGACTGACCGCCACCAGAGACAGACACCGGCACGCCCCAGCATCGGCACGAGCGTCCCCGCCGAGCTCTGGCCGCTGTGGGAAGCGCGTCACACTCAGACTGACCGCCACCAGAGACAGACACCGGCACACCCCAGCATCGGCCCGAGCGTCGCCGTCGAGCTCTGGCCGCTGGCGGACATGGCCATGTTCAGACTACGCGATAGAGGCAACAGCTAACTATGACGTCACAGATCGCCATCGACGGACATTTACGTCACGATGCTGCAACGCCCCGGTCACAACTCGTTTGTTTCAGCAGGCAACGCGACACACATCAAATTCAACTGCAGCCAGAGGGCGACTAATTTTTCAGGGAGACAATGCTGCCCTCTTCGGACGGTCATCATCATCATTAAAGACCGCGCCAACTGGCCATACTGTTATACGGAGCCGATGGACTGGTGAAGAGCCGTACCTGCTCCAGAAGAAACTGCACATTGATCAGCTTGCCCCTGTAGAACTCCAGCTGGTCGTCTGGGCACGCATCTTTAGGAATATCATACAGGCCAAACTCCAGTCCCAAGGCTTTCTCCTGCCGGTGGGAACAAAACGTGGATTACTCTCCGGTTCACCCCGGCGTTGTCATAACCTACATGATGCTTCAAGTAACCATCGATGGGGCGCAACATGACCTCAGCAGCCGGCCGGCCCTAAAACCCCACTTAACAACAACCATCGATTGCATGGTCTTTTAACTGATGTTTACCTATTACATAAGGCAATGGTAGCTCGGGGAGGGTCAGATCATCATTGAAGACATTTCTGCAGTAAAAGTAAGGGTGAGCAGTGTACTATGTCTGCCTGGCAGCTCGCGTCTCGGCAATGGCCTACCCCGACAGATCGCATCATTCAGCCATCCGTTTGGCAAAGTGAACCACAGCATAAAGCCGCGCGGAATCAGTCTGGTGCCAGGCGTAAGCCTGCTCCCTGGAACGACCACTTCACAGCTTCCAGCACACAACCCGCAGTCCCGTGCACTCCGGCCATCGGCGCTCCCGCCAGTCATCGGCGCTCCCACCACTCCCACCTGGGCGAACGAAGCGTCGAGCGGCCGCACGTCGGCCGGCTCAGCCTGCCATCAGCACCGCCGGCCATCGGCGCTCCCACCACTCCCACCTGGGCGAACGAAGTGTCGAGCGGCCGCACGTCGGCCGGCTCAGCCTGCCATCAGCACCGCCGGCCATCGGCGCTCCCACCACTCCCACCTGGGCGAACGAAGTGTCGAGCGGCCGCACGTCGGCCAGCTCAGCCTCCACGGTCACCGCCCAGTCGACGAGGCGTAGCTTGAGGCGCGGGCCGCGTGCGTCCAGCAGCACGGCGCGCCGCCAGGCGGCCGGCAGCGAGACGGCCTGGCAGTGGAGCGCCAGCAGCGCGCCCGTCGGCGGCACCGAGGCCGGCGCGGCGCCTGTCGGGGAAGGGGGCGGGGGCGGGTTAATCGGCACGTTCCGGCACTACAACGGGCGAAGCGTACATCTGCCCCAGATCTGAGAAAGTCAGAGCTGGGAACAGCGTTACCGACCAGACACGGGATGCCAAAGTACTTTGCCTGCCAAAGTAGCCTGTTATTGAGGAAGCCCACGCTACCACTGTCGCGGGCGGCAGCAGAGGACGACGTCACGCCTACCTGCGGCGCAGAAGGCTTGCAGGCGGGCCGCCATGGCGAGGTAGGGCCGGTGGTGGGCCGGGTCCTGCAGCTGGACCGACACGCGCTGCGGATGCTCCAGCGCCGTCGGCAGCACGATGTACTGCCGGTGCGGCTCCAGCCGCACCGCCGGCACCGGAACCAATGCCGGCTGCACCACCGCCGGCTGCGGGACCTGGAGGCAGTCGTCAGTCCAGCCCAGTTCAGCAGCCGCAAACCTTCGGGGGTGGATCCATGGCAAGCATCACCCAGTACAAGTACGCCGAAAATAATCGAGACCGTTAAAAGCACTCCCACCCATGAAATGTGACCCTGGAGTTGCAAATTTAAGGCCAGCGACAGCGTCAGATGCCGTGGGCGACCGCGCGCCCCGGGCCGACCGAGCGAACGGAGAGTCTCACCGGCTGCGGTGCCGCGCCCGCCGGCTCGGCCGGCAGCTGGTCCAGCAGTCGGCGGCATGACAGCAGGCGCACAGGCACCGCGAGACCGGCGGCCGTGCGCGCCTCGGCCTCCACCTCCCCGGCCGCCGCCGGCTGCCGTACCGTCAGCACCAGCGGCGCGTCCACCTGCGCCAGCAGCGTGTCGCGCGCGCCCGCCGGCGCCGCCGCCGCCAGGCGGACGCAGAGCGCCACCGGCGGCAGCCGCTCCAGCGACCAGCGGGCGGGCAGTGGACGCACCGGCGCCGCCGCCGCCACCCCCAGCGTGCCGGAGTCGACGAACAGCAGTCTGCCGGGACGGCGGCAGGTCAACGGCCCAGCGGAACATGTCGCGGAGACAACAGAACGCAACAGACACATCACCGCTACATCACTCTAGTTGGTATGTTCCGCTGGTGATGTTGACACTAGCACCTGGGTGCGCCCGCACACCGACAGCCCAAGTCCCTGACGTGAACAGTCTAATGAGGTGGCCGCCGAGCCTGCGTCTAGCCGGAAGCCGACGTGCTGCCGTCGGGCGGTCCCGCGTGAGACGTGGCTGCGCCTCACCTGTAACCGCTGGGGCCGGCGGCGCAGACCAGCGCCCGGGACGGACTGCCCTCCTCCAGGGCCACGACCACGTCACCGGGCTGCGCACTGCCAGGGAACATGTATGACAATCATCAGCTAGGCCGCCTCTGTTGTACATGAAACCGGGTAGGCGTCTGTACTCGCGGGTTGTTTCCACATTATGCCCGCCACTGCTTTACGGAGCAGACATGTCGTTACCAGAGGAGCATGCTGGTGGTAGCACCAGCGAACCGTCTATCAAGACCACGCCAATTCTCAATCTGCTCGTCGCCTCCGGTCCTTCCCCTCCCCCTCCCCACGAGGCCAGCGAAACGGCGCCCGCCCCTGGCATCCGGCGGCCACTGACCTGACCGTCGGCTGCTGGGGCAGCTGCTCCAGGTCTGTGACGCACTCGATGAACTGCTCGTTCAGCACAACTGCTGCCAGCGCATCGGCGGCCAGGGGGCAGGACGGAACGACCTCCAGCGGGTCGCCGGTGGCCACCAGCTGCGCCAGGTTGTCGGGCAGCCGGCCGGCCAGCCACGCCGGAGAGCCCTTCGTCGGGGCCGCGGTCACCGGCGGGCGGGCGGCGGGCGGCGTGGCTACCGGCCGGACAGCCGCCGAGGCCGCAGCAGCGGACGGCGAAGGAGGTACGTTGGCGGGAGCCGCTGGCGCCGGGGTCGGGGTGGCGGAGATAAGAGCCGGCGCCGCCACGCCAGCGGTCTGAGCAGCAGAAGCGGCAGCGGGAGGAACGGCCGGAGCCGCAGTCGGAGCCACGGCGGACGGAGCCGGAGCCACAACGGGCGGAGCCGGGGCCGGCGCCAGCGGGTCCCGGCCGGCCTCATCCTGCAGCGTCACGGTGACGTCGGCGCCGTCACGGCCGGTGACGCGCACCGTCAGCAGGCGCTGCACGAGGGCGGCGGCGGCCGCGCGCTGCGCGTCGCTCCAGCCGGCGGCGGCGGCCGGTCGCCAGGCCAGCCGGGCACGCACCGCCTGGCGCGGCCAGCGGGCGAACCGCGCCGGCAGCGGCACGACGGCCGCCGCCGGCAGCCACTCCGTGTTGCCCCAGTCGACGAACCACACCTGGTGGTGGCCGGCGAACGCGGCCAGCACCTCACCGCGGTACCTGTCGCCACGGCAGACGCGATCATCACGAGCACGGGGCATGCTGTCGCGCGCTCCGAGACACTGAAGCTGTAGGGTTACTTGGGCACCGACGGAAGAGAGGCGGCAATCGCTGCTCCGTTCATCCGTGTCGAGGGAGGCACGGCGGCGCGGATCGCCAGGGTCAGTGTGATGATGATTTTGGCTTTCTATGTGACACAAGGAGCATATTCACTGGCGCTCTCACAGCCACAGGAGCGCACGCTTCCATCGCGGATCCTGTGCGTTGCAGTGGTTCTCACCAGGCACCCTCGAACAGGCCGGCGCACAGGCCTCCGGGTGGCGGCGGCGCCTGGCCGCCGGTGGACGTTTCCTGCTGCAGCTGGCGCTCCATTCCGTCCGTGGCCGCCAGCTTGTCCTGCAGCCGGAGGTAGACGGTGCCGGCGTCCTCCACATGAGACACCGCCACCTGGGACGCAGGCAACGGGGAACGTTAGACGGTCACCAGAAAGAAGCAACGGTCGGCTTCTTGTAAGGTCATAAGGGTCGCCTTTAAAGAGCCAACTGCTGATACTAACCACCGCGTAACTGGGCATAATGCCCGTGGTGACGCGTACATAATTTCCCTCTACCTCTACCCAAAGCAGGTGGAAATTCAAACAAACTGCCAGCCACGCCTTACCAGCCCACACAGCAGGCCTCGGCGCATGTTCGACTGCTACCAGAGCTGCCTCTGCAGCTTCCTATCCGTCTCACCTGGTAGGTCTGGCCAGGCAGCAACGACACGACGTCTTGACTAGGCGCGGAGGCAGAGACACAGATGGGCACAGGCGCAGGCGCAGGGTCAGGCCTGGGCGAGGTAGAGACCGCCGCCGTCGCCGGCGACGGGCCGGCGGAGGATAGCGGCGTTGAGGGCGGTGTCGGCAGTAGGCCACGGGACGGCGCGCCGGCCGGCCGTGCCGCCACCACCTCCTGAGACCTGATCTGCGTCAGCACCGGCTTAGCGGGCGGCGAGCGGTGTGGCGGCGAGCACAGCGTCTGGTTCGACGGCCGGCGCGGCGAGCTTGCCGCCGACGGCGAGCGGGCGGGCGGCTCCTGGTCGCCGAGGCACGGCGAGCGACCGGCGTCGCCGCCGCCGTGGTGCGCGCCCCGCGGCGCCCGCCCGCGGAAGCCGGCCCGCCCCCGGCCGCCGCCGCCGCCGTCGGCCACTGACTCGGCCTCCGACTGGTAGCCGTCTTGGAGCCGGTAGCCCTGGCCACGATGGGCCGCGCGGCCGCCGCAGCCGCCGCGCGACGCGCCCTGGCCGCGGGCGGTGTGCGGACCGTCGCCGCCAGCCGTCACCACCAGTGACGGCAACTCTGGCTCCCTGCGGCGCGCGGACACGGCCGTAGTGACGTACAATCCACTGGGGTTAAGTCACCGGGGCACGGCCACAGCAAAACTTCACAGCAACGACTTAACGTGGCCCAACAGCCCGCCATTAAACACTTTGACCAATCGCATCCATAGTTACAAGATACTTTCAAAGTGCTAATCAGAGCACAATAAGTCTTAGCTCTGCCAGAGCACACAAGTGGCTCAAGAGGGGGCACTGCTTCAGAGGAAGTTACACTAGACGCGGCGGCGGCGGCGCGGACCGGGCGGGCGTCGCGTACCGGCAGACGAGGCAGTGCACCTGCCAGTCGGCCACCTGACAGGGTCGGGAGCAGTAGCGCGTCTTGCAGCGGTGGCAGTGGCCGGCCGTGGGCGTGGCGCACACGGTGCAGGGCAGCGGCGCCAGCCCGCTCAGCCGCGGCTCGTAGATCACCTCGCTCTGCCGGACACGGCGGCGGGTCAGCTCACGCTCAGCCGCTCGTAACGCTGGGTCGTGTCACATCAGGACGGCGAGCCACGCGCGATCGCCTCCCGCCGCGCGGGTGTCACGTCCTCGCCGGCGGGCGGGCTCACGGTTGGTGACAGCCGTAGGTGCGGCCTGGCCCCGTGCGCGGGCGTTCCTGGATCGCGGCGACGCATCCCGACTGGTCACGTCATCATCTCATCACATTCGGTCCATCTGGCGTAAGTGTGACCGCTCAGTCCATTCAGTTCGCCACTGCCGGGACGAACATTCACGAACGACGAGCCTCGAGCTGGCTGGGTTTGCGACTGCGCGCACGTTTAGTTCCCATCTTCCCAGCATGATATCCATAACACGTGGACAGAGCATTCTGCGAGCACTACATCGCCGCTACTACACTGGCTGACCGTAAACTCAGACAGAGTCACGCGTCAGCCCAGAAAGGCGCGCCCGATATACCTCGCCGTACGCCTTCTCAGGCCTGCGCGCCGAGCTGGGCGGTGGGCCATTGTCCATCACCATCGAACTTCGGAACTGGTCCCTGGAAAAAACGCAGTGGGCTTGTACGCTCAGGCAGGACAAGACAGTCTTGAAACCACGCCAATGCCGAGACCATGAACGGCTAAGAGCACCACTTCTGTGAGCACCACCTAAGACTTTCCCAGCGTCACGTTTTCCTCACTGTGGAAACCACGCCCATGGCCCATGACACCATGCCCACGGCCCATGCCCATAGCCCATACGGCCCATGGCCATGGTAAGGTTGCCCACACATCCAATTTTCTCACAAACCCACGCCACAGATGCTTTGCCGCAATCACTAAGGATGGAAGAGTGACAATGTTTTATTTCAGAGTGAATGCAAAGGCAGCACCTGGAGCCATTCCAGCTCCTAAACATCCGTTCTTTTGGGAGCCGCACCCAAATCCGGGAAAACTGCACTGAAAACAGCAATGTTAACCAAACCAGGCGTTCATGTCATGTCATTGGGGTTTTACGACGCACTCAGCTGCTGAGGCTATATGGCGTCACCTGCCTCTAACGCTGGCAGGAAGGGCGGGCACCGCGGGGAACAAATCATGTGTTCATTTCATACCATCCAGCAAATAGCCAGCAAAACTTACACTAGCTCAGAGATTTCCGCTTCGTACTTGTCGAACTCGGAAATTCTGGCCCTCACTTCCGGTTCAAGCTGAAATGACCGATAAGTGATAAGACGTGGCCCAACAATCATATCACAAAGGACATGCAGATTCAAAAACCAATGCCGCAGGCCGCTCCAGAAAAGCCTCGATAATCTTGTCTTGCTCGTGTCTTCAGCATGGGGCCACTAGCCGGGATCGGCCCCGTGCGTGTCCCGATCGGGGGAGCTCACCTCGCGGCTGAGGCTATCCGGATCCAGGAGCTCTTACCGCCTCACGATCGGGCTCTGGTGAGTCGAGAGAACCCTCCACCTCCCGGTCACGTCCACTCGGACGGGAACGGCCTCACATCCCGGTCCGGTGTGTTCGGGTGGACAATCGGCTCCTGGCGCCCGACCCGGTGTTCGAGACGATAGGGGGTGTGCCCTCCCTATGTCTACCGGCGCCGGGGAGATCTCCTGCCACCTGGCCCCATGTTAGAACAGGAGGGGGAGTCCCCCGTGTCCACCGATACCGGGAAGACCCCTGCTACCTGGCCCTGTGTTCGAACAAGGGGAGACCCCTGCCACCTGGCCCCATGTTGGAACAGTAGGGGGGAGTCCCCCGTGTCTACCGATACCGGGAAGACCCCTGCTACCCGTCCCTGTGTTCGAACACGGGGAGACCCCTGCCACATGGACCTGTGTTGGAATGGTAAAAGGAGTCACCCCATGCCTACCAGTGCCTGAGAGACCCTTACCGCTTGGCTCTGTGTTCGCTGCGGTAGAGGAGTGCTCCCACCCGCTGTCCGCTGTTGTTTGAGACCCCTACCTCGCAGTCTGCAGCCGCCGTGTCGCCGTGTCGCCGTGCTTGGCGCACCCTGCGCACCGCGCTCGGCTCGTTCAGGCGGATGGTCCAGTGGAACGGCGGCGAGTCGTGCAGGTTCGCTATGGCGGCCGCGCAGTGCCTGGCGACGGAGCAGCGCGATCGTCACCGAGCGGCACCGTCGCCGGCCAGCACGCGCGCGATGGCAGCGGGCGGCAGCTGGCGTGCACAGCGGGCGCTGGCCAGTGGAGCTGATGAGCGCCTGGTGTTAGGAGAACGACTGAGGCGATGGGGCTGGATGTGCTGCAACTGAAGGGCTTGAGAAGAAAACAAAGGGAATGCTTCAGAGAGTGGTCGTACTGTGACATGAAAGCAAAGTAATGAGAGCACACCATGGAGACCCCCAGAAATTGACCAGACAGTCATCAGCAATAAGTAGCATACATTTTGTCTGGTACCAGCTCCCATGAATCCAAAGAAACATTATGTCCAGCAGCAAACAAGACTCAGTTTAGCTGTATCCCTGTCTGGCAGCACTCACCCACCCAGTCATTTCTCAAAGCTTCATTAGGTGAAATGAACTGAGCTTGATCATTAACCTCATCTCTGCTCCATGTAACACACCCTGATGCATATGACAGGATTTAAATCTGCCACATATAGAATCAAA